AGATTGCCTGACCTCGTGATTTGTCACGTATTTTTAAATAACATACAGTTTTCTAAATTTGCTGAAGTACTACTAAACTACAAAAATAAATGAACGGGTAAATTATATTCTCAAATTATAACTCCGAATTAAACATGCAATGTGAAAAGTTAATGCCGTGAACCCTACTAAGTATAAATTAAACGTCATTGTTTGCTAACTACATAATTGATTAAACTTTATTATTTTAATAAGGTAAGGTATTAAACTAGACAGAGACTTGAATACTTTTTTTTACTAATTTTAATAATTCTTGTAAATGAGTAGATATTTAATAATAAAGTAATACATATTATTATACGCAAAAAATGTATTTGCATGCTTTTGCATAAACTTCCTGCACTTACAATTTATGAACAGTATTTTGGACGATGCCCAATTAATTGATAAATAATAGTATGTTGATGTAAAAAGAGTATCATTACATTACTTCAAATTCTTTTAACTTTCTTTATGTAGTATATCCTGTTTCCAAAATCTCAAGAAATTAGGGTTATGGTAATTCAATTCAGTCTGGGTGCTTAGGGTAAAAACTTAATAAACAACAAATGAAGAAGTATGTTATTTTTTAAAATTTATATAACATTTATTGCTGTAAAAGTTGGAGATGACGTTATATGATGGGGAGGATGATTACAAATGTTGGTCAGCGTTTTATCAACCGGAAACGAGAGACCTATGTTTTCGTATTATAGGAGTCATGAAACGTTGAGAAGCCATAAAAGTAGCCAGTCGCCCGATGAACCTGATTACAATACTTCCTTAGCTTGCGCTCGAGACATAAATAAAATAAACAATAACATTTGGATTTAATAGCTTTTGATATCTGGTATACCTAAACAGTGAGTGAATTTTATGCAGCTATTATTACCATTACATATAACCATCCACTTAAATTAATTGGTAAAAAAATTTACCCATAAATAAGTTATTGTAAAGTTATTTTTATTTACACGCGTATAATTGCACAACAATAATTCTTAGACAAATAGAATGATAAAGAAAGGCAATGTCATATTAAAAAACAAATTACTCGTTTCGATGTAAGGTACCTTATATAAGTTAACAACATCATCTATTTAGTTATTATAGGTAAAATTCTAATACGGAATTTATTCTTGAAGTAAGTCGTAAATTGTAAATAGCTATAAATTCGGAAATAATTCTTTTTAAAAGATACAAGTCAAAAATGTATTAGGCATGATTGTCAAAAAACATTCCAATTCTGTTTCAAATTTGCAAGCATTTTATGCCAAAAGCTGATTTTTGTAAACGTTCCAGTAATAAATTCCGAAGCAAAATCCACCTAAACAGATTTTGCTTCGAAATTTTAATTTTCATATTACTTTTACAACATTTTAATTTAAAAAATTAAAAATGTATCTATTATTTGTGATTATTGATGTAGAAATATCGTTTCTAGAAATAAGAATACTACAAAAAATTGTGAACTCTTTGGCTGGTATGCAGCATTATAAACCTTATTCACTAAAACTTTAGAAAAAATAAGTTCAATCATACCCGAGAAAAAATTAAAGAAAAATGTTACTGTTCAGAAAAAAATTAAATTATTTGTTTATCGAACAACAAATCTGTTTGAAATTTAAATTTGTAAAATTTCGAATCTAATATGTAATTTGAAAATATTTGTAACATCTATAACAACAGAAAAAGAGTTGCACAAATTACAGTTGCTTTTTTTTAATCTCAGATTCATCAAAATTGTTAAGTCTCTTTTTTATTTATTTCACATTATTCTTATTGTTCTGCGCGTGAAGTTGAATACGATTTCTTTCCCAACCCCAAACCTAACGCTGAAAAGCAAAACAGCAAGGAAGTACGTAAAAACGGATAACGGTACTGTATCGATTTCTGCTTGGACATGCGGCAAATCAGCACTGAATCTAAACTATGTTTCGCTTCGCCCAAGTGCGACATGCGGCAAATCTGCACCAAACAGTAGAGGCGAAAATCCCTCGGACGCGATCTGGATATGCGGCAAACCAGTTCTAAGGTGACGATTTTCAAAAAGTCAATGAACATGTTGGGTTTTGTATGGCGTCACTGTCACATGTTATCTACGTTCTCTTTAAAGACACTTTACTGTTCCCTAGTACGTTCGCATTTGGAATATTGTTCACCAATATGGTTTCCCTTTTATAAGACGGATAATGATTATTTGGAAAGAATTCAGAAGAAGTTTCTTAGATGTTTGGAGTTCCGAATGCATTGGCCCCAGCATAAAGGCCAATACGAGATCATCACCAATTTCATAAACCTGCCTTCTTTGCATACAAGGAGGATACTGTCGGATGGTTGCCTTTTACATGGTGTCATAAATGCTCATATTGTTAGCCCTGAAATATTATCACAATTGGATTTCTATGTTCCCGATCCTTCTGTTTGTAATACACGCAGTGTAAACATTTTTAGAGTCCATTCTTCGTTAAAAACAAATTTTGCTTTTAATAATCCAATTAATAGACTAATGGAACTTGGAAACAAATTTGCATCCATAGAAAAGTTTGAACTTTTCCAGAATTCAAAACATATATTCAGACGTGAATTCCTTTCTATTCTTAACAATAATTGCTGTTAATTTTGCTCATGAGTTATGTTTAAGTTAGTGTTAGGTTAGATATAAGTTACATATAAGTACTTATATGTTTCAGTCTTTTGTACATTTATTTAGTTTATCTGTGTAAATTGGAGTAATCCGTAACATGATTAATAATAAATAAATAAATAATAAAGATACATTTCTGCTGATCACGAAATTTTAGTGATAAACTTGTGCTGACCGCGTGATCAATTTTTTTTTAAATTTGTATTCAAAACAAATTTCTGCTGACTTTGCTATTTTTTTTTTTGCTAATGTTGCTAAACACCAATGGTGGGAGAGAAAAAAATGCGTGTTTCTTTAGTATAAATAAGTGATTGAGTTCATCACAGCCATCGTCTTCATCACCACAAGCCTTGACAGCAACAGCACCAGCCACAATGTAAGTACAAACAACTATTATCTACTTTGGACCTATCAATTATTTTTTATATTATTATTATAGTACTACAATGAGCCAGAAGAATATTGATACCCTTACGAGCGAGACCATTAGCAAAATTGAATTGGTGAGTAGATTAGTTAAAACAAAAGAAGAAGTTTGAAAATATATACAATATTTGAAAAGAACTATTTTATTGGTAAAGAATTGTATTAAAAACAAATCTAGTTGTGTTAATAGCTTTTCAAAAGTTGAATCAAATTTAGCCATTTTAAAAAATTATCTTGAAAACTTTAAACTCAAATTAAATACGGCAAAGAATAGAAAACCAAAAAGCTTACTTTGGCAAGACGTTGATTCTTGTTTTAACGGTAGAATCAAAACTGGAATTATAACAAATTTAAAAATTAAAGATCCAAAAGAATTTCTAAAAAAATCATTTAGAAGTTTTTCAATAAACATTAGAAGAGAACTAAAGAACTCTTAATTGAAAGTGAATGTAGTATTTGCTGGCTATTTATAAAACCTCAAACGGCTGAAACTTCTTTTAAATTTTTTTCAACAAAAAATCGAATAATAGATCATAATATCAATTTAAAGGATTGGTATGAAACGTATGTTATTGACCAAATTCTAATAAAATTGGAGGAATTTCAAGAACGAAATAGTGGCTGGAGTTTGTGTGAAATTTTATTTTTAAAAGTTAATATTAACCACTATCGTCCAATAAATGTTGGTATTTCAACATACGTTAATTTACCACCCTTTATACAAAAAAAAGAAAGCAGTTATAAATATAAAAAATAATGACCTTTATTGTTTTCTGTGGTCTGTGGTAGCAGCTTTATTTCCAGCTGAAGATGGTAAAAATGCAAATCGAATTTCGTCTTATCCAAACTTTAATAATGTTCTCAAATTTAACAATATCGACTTTCCTATAGGACTAAAAGATATTCCAAAGTTTGTGATTATGAACAATTTAGCTATCAATACTTTTACTATTGTAAAAAACGAAATTTTACCGTTATCATTAAGTAAGACAGATTTTTCACCTCGAATTAACTTATTGATGATTCAATGTGAAGAACGTGGCAGCAGTTGTAGTAGTAGTGATGACTGATGAGGAATATCATCTTAGTAAGTACAATTCAAAGAAAACACGTTACCATTATGCTTATATAAAAAATTTATCACGATTATTAAATAATCAAGTTGGAAATATTAAAAATAAAAAATTGTACTGTGAAAGATGTTTAAATCACTTTAATTCTCAATCTGCCTTAGACAAGCATTTAATTAACTGTAAACGTTTAAATAAATCAAAAATTATTCTTCCAAAAGAAAATGAAAACATTATACAGTTTACTAAATTTAAAAATAAAATATCAATACCTTTTGTAATATATGCGGACATAGAAAGTATTCTCGTAAATTATAGTGATGTTAAACATACAAATAAAACGAAAAAATACCAAAAACATGAAGCGTTTAGCTTTGCTTATTACATTAAATGTTCTTACAACGATATACTTTCAAAATTTCGTATGTACACGGGGAAAGATTGTCAGGTGTGGTTCGTTCATGAACTTGAACGAATAGCTCATGAATTGAAGAACATTTTCTCAAATCCTGTGCCCATGATACCTTTATCTAATGCAGAAAATCAGTCTTACTTATTTTCTCATAATTGTCATATTTGTGATAAACCATTTAGCAAAACTGATCAAAAAGTAAGGGACCATTGTCAATTTACAGGGCAATATCGCGGAGCTGCACATAAGTCTTGTAATTTACAATACCAAGATTCTATATGGTGCCTGCACACACACTTTAAGTACAGAAATTGAAGGACCGAAGAATTTACTCCCTATTAATAAAGAAAAATACATTTCATTTACAAAATATATCCAAAATACTAATATTCATTTTAGATTTATTGATTCATTTAGGTTTATGGCTAGTAGTCTTGATTATCATCGTACCTAGATGATGAGCAAAAAATTATTACTAGACAGTTTTATGCCAATGAAACACATTGTAAATTAGTTGCGCGTAAAGGAATTTTTCCATAATTATTGGGCAAAATTGCAAGATACGTGTCTGCCACCTAGGGAAAAGTTTTATAGCAAAATTCAAAGTTGTGAAATCTCTGGTGAAGACTATGCACACGCATGCAACGTTTGGAATACTTTCAAAATTAAAACATTACAAGAATATGCAGAGTTATATCTCAAAACAGACGTTTTACTTCTGGCTGATATTTTTGAAAATTTTAGAAAGACATGTATAAAAACATACAAACTCGATAGTCTACATTACTACACTGCCCCTGGTTTAGCATTTGATATTATGCTAAAAATAACTAAAATTAAATTAGAACTACTTACAGACATTGACATGGTGATGTTCATTGAAAAAGGTATTCGAGGGGGAATTTCTCAGTGTAGCAATCGTTATGGAAAAGCAAATAATCCATACATGGGAAACGCTTATAATCCCAATGAGCCCTCTTCATATCTTATGTATTTTGATGTCAATAATCTTTACGGTGCAGCAATGAGCTGTTATCTTCCATACGGTAATTTTCAATGGGTGCAGGTTATTGAATTTTACAATGAAAATTGTATGTCCTGAAGATAATGACTACGGCTACATTTTTGAAGTTGATCTTTGTTACCTTAAAGAAATCTTTGAGACACACAAAGACTTACCAGTTTGTCCTGAACATTTAGTTCCACCTATTTCAGAATCTGAATGTCCAAAATTATTGACTACTTTATATGACAAAAAAAATATGTGATTCATTACAGAAATTTACAGCAAGCCATTCGTTTAGGTTTAAGACTTGTAAAAATTCATAGGTGTTTGAAGTTTAAGCAATCAAAGTGGTTAAAAGAATATATAGATTTAAATACTAATTTACGGAAAGAAAGTCGAAACGAATTCGAAAAGAATTTTTATAAATTAATGAACAACGCAGTCTTTGGAAAGACTATTGAAAATGTAAAAAAATATCGTGAAGTCAAATTGGTAACTAAATGGTCAGGAAGGTTTGGAGCAAATTACTATATCTCACAACCTAATTTCCACAGTTGTATTATAATCGACAAAAAAACGTAGTGCTAATGGAAATGAAAAAATTAAACGTTAACTTTAACAAACCGATTTACGTGGGTATGTGTATATTAGACATTTCAAAAATATTTTTGTATGACTTCCATTATAGCTACGTAAAACAAAAATTTGGTCAAAATGGAAAATTATTATACACTGATACTGATAGTCTAATTTACCATTTTTTGTTGATGATATGTACAAACACATCAAGGAAGATATTGAGAAGTTTGATACTTCTGATTATCCTCCTAATAATGCTTACCAAATTCCATTAGCAAACAAAAAAGTTTTAGGGTTAACGAAAGATGAAAATAATGGTGCTATAATGACTGAATTTATCGGATTACGTTCAAAAATGTACCTGCAAGGACTATTAACCACTTCTCAGGAAAAAGATGTACAACTTCAAAAGATGTATGATAAGCAATTTACACAAATAGAAATTGAAAATTTCCTATCAAACTTTGGAGTGATCAAAAAGGCTAAATGAATTCAGAAGCCGGTTTTAAAGGAAATTACATTTGATGATTATTATGATGCTTTATTCAATAATCAAAAAGTATTTGTTTTCCAAAATTCTATAAGAACTGAAAAGCATGAGGTTTACACAATCGAGCAAAATAAACTTGCATTGAATCCTCAATATGATAAACGCATGGTGAATTATTTAAGTACAGACACATTGCCATGGGGTTTTCTTGATGAAGTTGGTTTCTTTCGATAAAGTTAAAGATAAAACTTTTTTTTGTTTTAACATAATCTACTTCATACAATCTCAATTTTGTTGCTTGAAAAGGAACACACTAATTTGTAAAAAGAAAAAAAAACTAAATATTTCAGCAAATTATATTATATATTTTCAGCCTAAAACTATCACGTTTGTAAAAAAACCTTTGCATCAATGTAACTTTTTACAAACACCTAAAAACAAGGGTGTGCTTCAAGAAAGTAAAGCAGAATTTCAAAAGTTGCAAAATGAGAATAGAAGATGTTTTGTGGCTGGAGGCTACGCAGCATTTTTGTTAAAACGTACATCGCGTTATAGCGATGTAGACGTATTTGTTGAAGGCCATCCCACTGACGCTGAGAAAAAACAAATTGACGAACAACGTAAAGACGATTATAAGATGTTAAAATATAAAAATTTTTACTATTGGTGTAGTAATATAAAATTTAATGTAATATTTTTGGGTAAAGTGGCAGAATACGACTGGAAAAGTTTTATAGCAAAGTGTATCAGTGAATTTGATCTGCCGATATGCCGTGTGGCATTTTTTTTTATCCACCAATCAATTTGAAGTAATAATGGACGAGATGGCAGATCTTACTGTTGCAATGAATGCCAATGCAAGCATGTTACGTATTTTAAAGTATATAAATAGATCTAATTTTAATTAATGGGGTAGGTATGTTACGGTCTAGTTAAGCATTAAAATAAACTCTTTTTTTTTTAGTAGCAGCAACTTCAGAAATTAAGAAAAAAAATTGGGACGCAATATTGTCACAGTTGTAGGATTTTTTCTGTTTCTGTATAAGTTCAATATCAATCCATCTATCACCCGCACCAAAGGACAACAAAGCAATTTCGATTTGTGAATTTTTGGTTTGTGGTGAAAGTTTAAAAAGCAGTGACGATGAAGACTAATACAACTGAAAAAGCTGCAAAAGTTCACTTACTTAGAGACAAACTTAAGCGTAGCTATGTTTACACAAGTGAACTGCGTAACATTAGTGGTGTACTGTCGAGTGGAAAGTTAAGTGTTGGTGATGTAAGTAGGCTAGTAGAAAAACCAGTATTACCTAATAAAGTTAAGATAGGTATAAGAAAGGAATATAATCTTCCGAATCACACTGAAGAAAGTGATTATGATTCACAAGAAACAATAGCTAATAATTAATTTTTAAGTTTATTTGTTAGTTTTTTTTTATAAGATCCAATGTGTAATTTTTTTATAGACAACACGAAGTTGACACAATAAAAATGTAACAAAAAAAGCTCTTGGTGTTTTTCATTTTTCTCTTAAATTCTCTCAAAAATCATTTTCTCTTAAATTCCCTCAAAAAAAAGAAAGTAGGCTAGCCGAAACGATATCAACGCTGAATTCTGGTGTGGTGTCCGTCCGTTTTCTACACTATCACAATTTTACAAGCGTTCAACACATTAGCTTTATAGTCGCATGTATGGAATTGATAAATCGACAAATCGACGCACTCGGTTCGAATCACGATAAAAGCAATTTGAATTTTTTTCACACCAAACAAAATTTACCTACGGTCCAACGAAAAAAAAAATTACTCTTTCGGTTTTTTACCTTTTTTCAAAAACACCTCAAAAACACCTGTGATTACACCTGCGACCACACCCCCCCCTTTACCTGGAGGAGCTACGTCCTAACTTCAGAAGCCTCTCGTCAATGACGTCATTGTTGATCATGTCTTGTAGAAGTGACCTTGAAAGACCCTCGAGGGTGGGCACTTCTTCAGCACAAGAATGACCTTCCAAGGTCATGGACAGAGGACATGCCATCGAAGTGTCACAGTAACCCGCTATCTATACTACTTATATTTCAACATTTTTTGATGATTCTGAGCGACGAAACACACTTAGAGCATGCAGAATCGTCTCAGATTAGGAAAAGGAGATGTTTAGGTCAATTTTATGCATTCTGGCGTTCGTAGATGCAAGAAAATTGTTAAAATTCTTCAGAAACGTCACTTTTGAAGTGTTTTCTTGTAGTTTTAAGCCAATCAGGAACCCAATGGGCTCGGAAAGAGCAACGAAACCATCAAATTTTAGCTAGAAACAGTATTTTTGTCGATTTTTATTAAATCTTAACTATATTTCAACATTTTTTGATGATTCTGAGCGACGAAACATACTTAGAGCATGCAGAATCGTCTCAGATTAGGAAAAGGAGACGTTTGGTTCAATTTTATGCATTCTGGCGTTCGTAGATACAAGAAAATTGTTATTTGCTCATTTCTTCTCTAATCGTCTTGTTTTTTTTTGTCTCTTTCCCTATAATTGGGATTACCCCATTGGGAAAGACTTAACTAATAATAATATTAATATTAATAATAGTAATAATAATAATCTAGTCATAACTACTGGGAAGCCCTTCAACTTGGACACCCATTAACTGTTTAACTTTTGCTTCTACTGGATTCAGCTCTTTTTCTTCATTATCTCCTCCACCGGTTTTTCTAAAGCTGAAAATAATTTTTGAATTTTTTTCTTTAGTTTTTTTCTTTAAATTGTTATATTTGTCCCTCAATGTTTTTGTAGATCTGGCTCCACTAGTACTATTGGCATTGAACAAATCGGTCACTTTTTCCCATGCCTTTTCTTTATCTTTCCAGTGCTGAGCCCCAGATTACTTATTCTCTATGACGTCTTTATTTTCTGCTATTATATCGATAAGTAAACTTTTGTCTTCTTTAGAAAAATTTGCGCTTCGCTTACTACTGTCTTTTTTATCCATTCTACAATTATTATATAGGTAATCAAATACTTTGTACATTATAAAATATTGTTAAAACAATTAATATAGTAATATTTGATTGTTACATACCTTTGTAGACAGTATACACAATAACTTTCTGAAAAGAAAATGTTATTGCAATTTTCAATCACAATATAAAAAAAACCAAGGAACTAATATAACGCGTGTATTCAAAACGTCAACAAAATATGACAACACAGATTGACAATGCGAGCGAACAGCTGGCTCGCCGCGCATGCTTACAAGTACAGTGTTTAGTATCAACGAAAGGAAATTTAATATTAACTTCTAGTTCCCCAACCAACAGTTGGAACGGGATTGAAAGACGCATTACTGATTTAACTATTAGTTAACTGAAACTACTAGTTGGCTGACCAGCACTTTTGACCAGCGATTGTACAACCGGGCCTTAATTGCTCCCTTCTAAAAATAGTCCACGACAGCATATGTCTGTCTTTTAAGGTCGACACAGTATAATCTATTTTATGGTAATAAAATTTATTCTAAAATAATACCACCAACCCCCATTTTTTAATAACGATATGAATATCGTTGCTTTCATCCAAAGATGCGCAATAGGGTTGCAAGATGGCTATTGAATATAATCATTGTCGTACGATAAATTTGTATGTATAATTTATAATTAAATTTAGTTATATTTATATGTATTTATTTTAATTTAATTTTTCATTTAACTACCAAAATATTCACTAGAAATGCCAAAACAACGTTTGCCGGGTCGGCTAGTTTCTAATACGTATAATTATATACAGCGCATATTTTTTAAAAGTGGTTATAGGGATTCCCATGTTAAATTTTACACCCCATGTTAACTTATGTTTGAGTAAAGATTCAGAACTGAAATTTTTACTGGATGTAACTTGGGTTATCTTTTGTCGATTTTATTAAAAATCATGTTTTAAATTAAAGGATATTTCTTTAAAAAAAAATAAAATATTTAGATATTTTTGTCGCTAAAATTGTAGGCACCCATGAAAAACAGACATTTACCTGACGTTTCTAAACTTTGATTACTCGTTCGATTACTAGTTTTTAGTGACCGAAATTCATCAACATACCGCAGTACACAATTAAAGAAAAAGTAGAAATGGTCACTGATGGAACATTAAAGCCTTATCGATAGAGAGCGGATTTTATGAAATTTGCATATTCGTTATTTTTTGCATATAAGACTTGATATTTCATATATAAACGAATCATGCTAATTAAAAATGAATACAACTATAAAAAAATGCATATTTGCATATATTTGCCTTCTGCTGCATATTTCACGTAACGGGTGCATATTTTGCATCTTTATCAATTTTTGTGCTAATTTGAAAAAAAAGATTGTCTTTCTATCGGCATTTATCTAGAAAGACGAAATTTCATAAATCATATTGCAAATATTGTCCTGAGCTTCAAATAACCAGGAAAGGTTTGGGTTTTATGGTAGTTTGGACAAAACACTGAGTGTTAAACTATCCTTCCAGGTAAATTCCCTCCTAATTACTTTTGGAAATACGTTCAGCCCCAATATTTTTGTTCGTTACTTCAATGTGTTAATGGCATGTTTTGTGGTGGGCGAAGGGACGTTATCCTATTATTTTTCATCGTGAGTTTGCATTAAAACTATTTAAAGTGATACAGATGTGTGTGTTAATACGTCGAAGATAACTCAAAATAATTTATGGATTAAACCTTTTCCTGAACTTATTTTTCAAGAAGGAACTGTGTTTTATACCGCCTGCTCTAAACCGGTAAGTATTTTTACATCTATGGATGTAGTACGCAGTTTTTCTATTTACAAATGCATACTTTAGAATCACCGGAAAAACTTTTTGTTAGAATATTTCAAAAAATATTAAAAAATAAATTGTTACCAAAATAGTAATTAAATAGTCGATTACTGCTATTTTTTAATTTGTTCTGTTTATGTTTATTTTTTAGTATAAGAATATTATCATTATAAACGTGATTTATGTGTTAGTGTGATGTAATTAAACACTTTGCAATGTGATTTATGTATTTATTGCAATAAAACTTAAGCTCGGGAAACCTATTTTTGTAATGTGTAAATAAATTTAGTTCGGTTATTAAGCTTTTTTTTAATTTTTGGAGCATATGCAACTGCATATCTCTGCATATATTAAGAAAGTTACTGCATATTTGCAAAAATTTGGTGCATATCATATGATCATATTTCCCAAAATTTGGCTGCATATTTTCCGCTCTCTAGTGATAAGTGCACGCAGGGGATGATAGACAGAGAGCTAATGTACTGGAAAGAAATAGGATAAGTTTACGTGTGTACACCGTAGCCTCCCTTTCTCTGAACAGTTTGGGATCATATCATATACCATAAATAATAAATGACAAAGAGTTCGCAAAAGAATCCAACGGAAACGGAAATATTCCTCTGTTGCTACTGATGTTTAACACGAATCTACTTTACACTCCGCTCTAAGGTATTAAAAGAAAGAGTTTTGCTTTTATTATTATCAGACCCCAAAAATGATCGGCATTCAGGCAAGACCAAATAATGATATGCGTTAATTAGATTAATAAAATAACTTTTGAAATCTAGAATTCCAACATACAAATTCGTCTATTAATATCATTATTATTAAAAAATTTAAATCTCCGCCGTCAAGCAAATGTGGCAACCCTAGTTGCAGTCGACATAATTGTCACCGATACATAAGACATCAAAAAGGAATAATTTATTTCCAAATCCAAATATACTGCATTTACAGTTTTAAACAGTATCATTGCTAATTTTCTCTGGTTGCCCGACAATAGCCACTTGTAGTCAATATCCACGTAATGTAATAAAATGCTGGAATCTAATCGTTTGAGACAACAACAACCTATTTTGACCCGAGTGTGTTCTTTATCAGTTTGAAGATTTTATATAACAAAATTACATATTAATCTGCAATTTTAGTGGGACTGCAGCGAGCCAATGCAAAGAAAATATCATTTTATTATCCTTTGCAAAAATAATTCCTTTCTGTAAAACATGTTTAAATTTGGTACTCAGTATTTCGTTCACAATTCACCATTTAACAATGGAAATTAGCAATGCAATATTTGGATTCTACAATTTTTAGGTAAAATGAATGACTGCAATCAGTTTTGTTAAATACAGATTTTATATAAAAATAAAGAAAAATAAGTTTCTTTATTTTAAAAATATTTAGAAAAAATCCAATCAAAACATCAATAACTTAACATTTATTGTTGATTATACTTAGTTAACTACTTCACCACGCGATTTCTAATATCGTATCAATTTTTCATTTATTTCACATTATTAGTAATTGCCATATTACTTGTTCTGCGCGTGAAGTTGATTAAGAAATCTTAATCTTAATTATTTCCTAAAAATGTATCTAAAGATCAATCATTCCCAAAAAAACATTAAATAAAAATGTTACTGTTGAGTAAAA